ACCTGCTCACACCCCAACATCCAGTCTTATGATTACATCCACTGGTACCGTCAGCTTCCGGGCCGAGGACCCACATTCCTCGTCAGCGCCGTCAAAGGCTCCGAGGACGTGCCGAACCCGGAGGGGCAGGTGTTTGTGTCGGCAGACCGCCGCTCCAGCGCCCTGTGATGCTGAGGATGCTGCCAACAGCAGCGGAGGTGGAGGAGCCCACAACCATGTTTTGTCACTCTCAGTGTTGTCTATCAGACCATGTACAATCTCAGTCTTCCTGCAGTTTAGAAGCTCCCTTCTAAGAACAGGAATGCTGCAATGACGACTCTCCAGCGCCTTCTTGTCTCCAAGCTGAACATATCCATTTCCCTCAACTTCTCTTCTCAGGAGATGTGCTCCAGCCCTTTGATGATCTCCGTGGTTCTCCTCTGGAGCCACTCCTGCAGCTCTGCATCCTTCTCATGCTGAGGACCCCAGGCCTGTATGCAGTATTCCAGACTGAATCTCACACGGGCCAACACTGCCTGACACAGAACCTATCCCCAGCGATGGTACTGTCATCCTTGCAACATATAGGAACGAACCCATGCTGCATCCCATCTCTGTGGTGCTGGCAGCATGTGGAATCTGTGTGAAAGTGAAGCACTCATAACACAGATCCTCGGAATGTGCTGATGTGAAAAGAACCTGATCCCTTAGTAGAGAGCAGCAGTACTGCACGGAGCACAAGGGCTATTTCATCTCCAGGGTTCAGGGTATGCCAAAGGATCTTGGCATCTCCGAAAAGACATCTCAGTGTTCTGTATTTGGGCTGATGCATTCCCCATGTGATTGAGGGAAAGTACACGGGTGCTGCTGAGTGCAGAATCTGGGCCTACTTCCGTTGGCATGTCTCAGTGCAGGAGGTGATATCTGCACAAACACCGAAACAGAAAAACAATAACAGATGAAAAAAAGTGTTTAATGAGTCTGCAGAGAGAAATGATGTCACCCCAAGCAGAGGCCCTGTGTGCCGTGAGCAGCAGAAGCAGATAGGAATCTGTTCCCTGTACCTATGGCAGCATAGCCACAGAGCCCTGTCTCCCAGCCCAGAGTCTTAGGGAGGTGAGCAGGTCATTCAGGGCACATTTTGGGGGTACAAACAGACATACCTAAAAGGAAAAGGCAGTAATGATATAAGATAGGAAGAGTGAGTATAAGAGAGTATCAGTAGACTTTCTCCATGTTGTCAGAGACTCGAGGCTGGCCTGAACATGTCTGTCTTGCAGAGCAAACACAGCATCACAAAAAAGTTCTTCTCTTCAGTGTCATGTTCAGCATTCCAGGGGGTCCTTGTCTGGGTCTGGGTCACTGTCCAGCACCATTAGCAGGGCGGGCACCTTCTGCCACAGTAGCGGTTGGAAATGCAGGAGAGGTCCAAGCCCCCCGACGTGATGGGCACGCCCTCAGAGCTGAGGATGCTGCCAACAGCAGCGGAGGTGGAGGATCCAACGGCGGTGTTCTGTGGGAAGGAGCTGAGGATGGGTCCGGGCAGGGTCACCACCACGGGAGAGGGCTGGATGACGATGGTGGAGTTCTGGCACTGCCTGACACAGGGCTCATTGCAGCTGCTGGCCAGAGGGGTCGGGCCACAGGGCTGGCACAGCCCTCTGGACAGTGGGGAGAAAGTACGAGATCCTTTGAGAGGGACTCATCAGAAGTGGCTGAACTCAAACTGTAGGAATAAGAAAAGGTGTGTGAGATTTAAAGGAGACACCACCCTGATAGTGGATTCGCCAATTTGCTGAAGTCTTGGCTGTTTGATCTCCTTGGAAAGGAAAAGCAACGCTAATGTTGCAAAAGGTCTCCAAAAGTTTGTCTGCATATCAGTATATAATCCCTTACAACTCTTCCACACAATTCTGCTTCCAGATACTGGTGACTTTAGCCATCCCAATAAATGCTGGATGGGCAGTATGGATGGAAATCAGGAACTCTGGAGAGTTCTGAATTTGGAATGGGCAGACTAAGTGTGAGCAAACCTGAGACATTGCTGCCCATGCAGGGAGGCAGTCAAAAACACCACAAGTCAGCCTGAGATGAAAAC